GGGTTCTTTGGAGATGGGGTAATCATTAATGGGGAATGTTTTGATTTAGTCTGCAAAAAGATTGGAGGTGCATGCAGGATTAGTTTGGACAAAGTCATGGACAGGACTTCTTTGTATGGTTTAAGAGAGATGATTTATGAAGGCAATATATGTTGGTATACATTTGGAAGAGTGAGTTTTTCCTCCTAAAGTTCCTCGACCCTTGAAATTAAATTCTTTCAAGTGGTGCTTCTATATTTATTTATCACTGTAATATCTGTAACTACATATTTTTGTAGTAAGAGTTTTTAATCAATGAACCTGTCATTCATTCTACTTTTAATATGGGTGTAGTTGGTCCCTTTAAAGGTTACTTGTGGTAGAGAGTTGTAAACCGAGAGAAGCAGAAATTATTATGTGAAGGATGCTTATTTTAATCATGTTTCACTGGTGATTCCTGATTCTCATTGCCTTTGAAAGATACTGGACAATTGGATTTTCCAGTTTTGTGTCCGAGGCAACCTAAACTGTTTACATTCATCTTGAGGGGGTGGATGGATGGATCTGTTTTCTTTTTCAAGATAGTGTTTGCTGTGCAAGGGTTTCCTTTGTGCTTCTTTCCATCCCTGAAGGATTTTGTGATCATGTCGTTACAGTTGCATGAAATAGTCTTTTGTTTGACTTTCTATGCTGCTTTCTACCTGTTGAGTATCAAATTTCAGTCACCCATATCCTCAGTAATTGACCTTGATTTTGGAAAAATTAATTGGGAAGTTGATGAAATTCTACGGAATCTGTTAGATGCTTTTTTATTGTGCTATATTTGTGACTAACAGTCACATTGGTCGTGCTTAGTTACACGACTTGAACTTCCTAATCTGGAAGACTATATAACCCTATTTTTTTATCCGAATATATTATCTCTCTCTCTCTCCTCTCTCTCTCTCTCTCTCTCTCTCTCTCTCTCTCTCTCTATAAATGTTTGTTGTTGACTTTGGTCTATAATCTCCTTACTACTCATGTGACTGATTTTTATAAAAACCTTGGTTGGAGAATAGGTATCACTTGTGACACCAATGGGGCAAAGAAACATGCTATGCCCTAGTCAGATGATTGATTTGGAAATGAATCAACAAGGGGAAGGTTATCTCTGTCCCCCACCCTCCATCCATTTCGGGGGTGCAACCAATATCCATCAACCTAATATTCACACAATGATAACAGCTTCAGGGACCAGTTTCGATGCCCAACATTTACCTGAGCGCTATGATAATGCTGCATTCTACGGGATGGCCCAGTACAGTGGTGTTCAGCATCATCATAATCTTGATTTGGGCATCACAACTCCTTCCAACTATTATTATTCGTACATGACCCCGTCATCGAGTTCTGGGGTGTTACCTGTTCCTCTAAATCATGGGGCTTCTGATCCGCTGCCATCTTCTAGCCATTATGGAGTCATTGGAGTTTCTGCAGATGAGTATGGCAGGAATAGTCGCATCATGGATGATGTCAGAGGTCCATGCAAGAGGAAAAATCCTGAAGGCCTACCAGGGAATTTCCAATATTTTAATGCCTCAGCAACCTCTAGTTCTTCAGTGCCTCCTTTGAATATAAGGAATCCTGATGGGGTTGCTGTAATGGATGCAGTAACCTTTGCCCTGCCTCAGTATGTGGGAACTGGCAATCTACCAATTATGGAAGCAGGACCTCAGAGTAGTATGAGGAATAGGTCAGCTACGACTGGGCTTGATTCTGCTATGACACATGACCATAACCATCTGAATCAAGGAAATTATGTGGGTCAGCGCCTTCAGCCGGCTGGAACTCTTTGGTTGGATCAACATTTAACTATCAACAATGGAGATGGAGGTGCTTCAGGCTGGAATCAAGCCCCTAATATTCCTTTTATGCATGGTCAGTACTTGCTTTGTATTTCTTCCCCTGTAATTGGATTCCTATTTGCATCAATTTAGGTCATTCATGTTAGAAAGGTTGAATAAAGGTTGATCTCTAGAAGCAGCTGCCATCTCTTAAAGTAATGTAGGCCTGCTTTGAATGAAGCTCATGCGCTTATTTCCTTTTGGGAACTTGCCCTCAATGTCAGTCTATTTCCCATGGAAAATATTTCTGTTACAACTTATGGAGCCTAATTAAGAAACCCAAATGTGTTTTTGATTGGGATCTCTCTCTCTCTCTCTCTCTCTCTCTCTCTCTCTCTCTCTCTCTCTTACAGGGGGCAATGTCACTGTAGGTTCCATGGATAGTGCGAACATGGGTATGCAAAGATATCATGATTCATCTAGCAACAGAAGTTCCACCATTCTCCGGCATCCTCCTCCCCTCAACCACCGGCATCATAGTCAGCACGTTGTAGCACCGCCCATGCAAGGATTAAGAGGCCACAATCTTAATTTTCCTCCCCAGGGAGCCACGACAGCTTCATACAGATTACCCACAAGTTCCTCGCGCAACACAATGAATCCTTCTCAGAATGGTTTGGAGATTGGTCGTCGGCAACCAGGACTTGTTCCACCAAATGGCTTCAGGATATACAGGCCTCACCAAGGAGTTGCTCCTGAGACAGCTCTAAGACACCAGAACCTTCCCCATTTGAGAGTTCTTCAGGCTGATGTAATCTCTCTCTCTCTCTCTCTCCTCCTCTCTCTCCTCTCTCTCTCTCTCTCTCTCTCTCTCGTTTGCCTATTATGTGGAGTGGAAGAATATTTTGGATGAACTGTTTTGGTGCTTTTTTGCAGGAGGGGGTCATAGTAGATGTACCAAACTTTTATAGCAGCTTTCTTGACCAGCACAGAGACATGCGCTTGGACATAGAGGACATGTCATATGAGGTAAATTAATGAAGTTTGGTTCTTACCTACCTACTTGTTCATATAGATAGATAACTCAATCAGGTAGATAAGAAAAAGATGAAGAGGTGCTTAGATAGATTCTTGAATATTTTTATGTTCCTCTTTGTTATTCTTACCCACTCGTTATTCTGTTATTCTCATATTTATGCTGCCTCTGCAAAGTTTCAACCTGATATCTCCACTTTCAATTGCAGGAGCTTCTTGCATTGGGGGAGCAAATTGGCCATGTAAGCACTGGATTGTCTGAGGAGAGAATTAAAAAACAACTAAAGACAAGGACTTATTTATCATCTTCTACAAATTTTAATCTGGAAGAAGCTGGATGCTCAGATAAGGAAGCTGATTCTTGCATTATATGTCAGGTATGATAAAACTCTCAGTAAATCACAAAATATTTTTTTCTCTTGACATTCATGTGCAACTGAATATTTAAATATATTGCTCTATTCACCATTGTTGCATTTGGGATTTTACAGGATAATTATAAGAAACGCGAGAAGATAGGAACTCTTCATTGTGGACATGAGTATCATGTGGATTGTTTAAAGAAGTGGTTGCTTGTGAAGAATGTGTGCCCCATCTGCAAATCTGAAGCATTGACGACCACCGGGAAGAAGAATGTATAGAAATGGTGTGACAGTTGAATGACAAAGGGCTTCCTTCCTTTGTTCTTCTACTAATTTTCTTTTGTTATGTATTTTTGTATATGCACTCAGCATATATATATATAAATATACTGACCAACAGTAACACCATCCCAGCTCAATTATTTGTTGGCTTTGCAAAAACATTGGTCCTGTATCTATCAAACTTGTACAGACTTTTTTTTTTTAATTTTTTTATAATTCAGTCTTCATGTGCTGTATAACTCTTGGTAATTATGCCACATTCTTGTTCATTTGTGTCAATGCTTTTATTTATTTATTTATTTTCATAGTTCATCTTTGTCAATTCAAATTGATGGAACGCTGAATTATGATTAATTGATTAAAGTTTACATTCCTGTTGGGGTGGGTGCTTTTTGGCTGTACTTGCCCTGCTACATAATTTGTAGGTTCTTTTTCAGGTCCATATTATTTTGGATCGTTTTGGCTTGTCCGAATCTTTTGACATGGTTTTGGGTGCCTATTAACTGCAGACTCAGGATTTTACAAGGGGGTGTACTCTCTATAGCACTCATCATGACCCCTCTCCTGATAGCACCCCCTCTAGGGACAGAGGGGGTCATGATGACCGCTATAGGGAGATAAGGGATATGCCCATCATGACCCCTCTCCTGATAGCACCCCCTCTAGGGACAGAGGGGGTCATGATGACCGCTATAGGGAGATAAGGGATATGCACCCGGGGACGATTAAGTTTCTTTCGTACATTAGACAATCTTAGCCCGCCATGAATCAGACTCTATGACTTGCAGTAGCTTGTTGCAGTAGATAGCTTATAACCTGTAAATCTGAGAATCTACATTAAACTGCACGGTACTTTGTTGCAGTATAGAAACAGAAACAAAAAGCCAAGTGACTTTAATGTTTCTTTTAGCTCAATGGGAGTAATGTAAGTCTGATATACGAGAGAAGGATCATAATTTTTATTTTCAAATTTCTTCTCTTTTTCATTGGTTCGTTTTGGGAAATAGAAATGGTGCAAACGATTTGTTTTTGGGAGTTAGATATGTCGTTCTTGTGAAATATGCCCTTCAAATTTTCTCCCGTACACCTATCATATAATTAAATATTGTATTTCGAAATACGCGACCAGCAATTTATTCGAGCCATAAAAGGGAAGCTAATTCATCATACATTTAAGATTTAACTAATCATCAATCAGATACAAAAACAAACTTATCCAGAAAATTCTTCCTAAACTAGAGCAACCAAGTACAACAAAAGATAAAGAAACAAAGAAATTTTACGAGAGGGAAGAGCAGGGGTAAATAATCAAGAAATTGACATAAGATGGAAGCTGTGAGATTTCTTTTGAATCCAAAACTATAAGCCAACCCCAGAAAAACTCAAGCACTGGAAGACATGACCATACAGTAAAAAGTTCATGAGAAATTCCATGAGTAGCCAGGTAGAAATCCCAATACTTTAGGGGCAGAAAAATGAGAAGACAACATATTTGAGCTTTGACCTGTCGCCCTGGTGATTAAGCAGAACAGCAACTAGCTTTCTTAACAGCTGAAACATCATCCTTGTTTCCGACATTTATGGTTTGTCCCTTAGGTAGTGCTGCAGGATCATCCCCAACCTCAAGTGCTTTCCGGCTAACTACATGGTATATTTGTGTTAGGACCTCAGTGAATGCATTTTCAACGTTCATAGACTCGAGTGCTGATGTCTCCATAAAGAAGGTGTTTTCTCTCTCGGCAAAGGCCTTAGCATCCTCAACAGAAACAGCACGCAGGTGACGCAGGTCAGCCTTGTTACCCACGAGCATTATCACGATATTGGAGTCTGTATGATCCCGTAGCTCCTTTAACCATCTTTCAACATTCTCAAACGTAACATGCCGGGTGACGTCATAGACAAGCAAAGCACCAACAGCTCCTCGGTAGTATGCACTTGTAATTGCACGGTACCTTTGACAGGAAAAAAATGAGTACTTATTCAAACTTCAAAATTCAAACAATCATCACAACCAAGACCAACATGAAATAAACAAAATATTTTTATTCCTCTGCAACTAATTATCTCTCAGGTACTGCTAGTCTGCTACCAAATAGGTTCTGAAACACATAGTAAGATTGTATCTCCTTCATAAAAGGAAACCGATACATAATCAGTACCGATACTATAAAAAAAAAAAAAAAAAATACAGAAACATAGAGGAGACAACAGAATCTCTTGTTGGATCACACTTGGTGCGCATACGAGACAAATTAGGCGCACCCAATAACCTACTTACAGGGGTTCAACAGTTGATCCTTCTGCTATGAACCAAGCAGAACTAAAGAGTATTATGTTCAAGCCTAACGCTTTGAGATTATATATACCTCCAGAAAGAGAAATTGCATCCAACTACTAAGCAAATGAAGTCAAAAAGATGGTTGGCTTCCAATAACCAATGTATTGCCATAACCCCACATTTTCTTAATATGGCAAGTCATATTACTCAAGCCAATAAGTAAAGCAGTGTTCTTACATCAATATCAGATTTTCCTCAGCATCCCAACAATAAAAAAACCCAATTCTATCAATAGATCTCGCTTCATTAAACGACCAGGAACTATAAACATTTCCTTCCCTTTCCCCACATTTTCTCAGCACCCAAACGGGCAAAACCAATTTACCCAAATCCTATACGAAAACCAATAAACAGAAAAATTGACTGAAATCATTGAAATGGGAAAAAGAGTGCAAGTTTATACCTTTCTTGGCCGGCGGTGTCCCAAATCTGGGCCTTGACGATCTTCTCATCAACGTGGATGCTCCGAGTGGCGAACTCGACGCCGATGGTAGACTTAGACTCGAGGCTGAACTCGTTGCGCGTGAACCTGGACAAAAGGTTGGATTTTCCAACACCAGAGTCGCCTATGAGCACCACCTTGAACAGGTAGTCGTAGTCGTCATCTGCTCTGTAGGCCATGCCTCCTCCCTCTCCGCTCCAAATTCAACTCGCGGGTTCGGTCTGATTGCCGGGTCGGATCCGAAATGGGTCGCCGATTTATATCAATTGGAAGAGCGACTCGGACTCGGAGACATGGAATGAAGGAGGACTTGTGAGGCAGCGTGTGAAAAAGGGAAAGACAGCGACTTTATGAGCCTCTTCTGTTGGTGGCGATAATTAGATATCAGATGATATTGTGAGAGAATTATTAGATTGTTCTATGTGGGCTCTCAGATTTTTGAGGCCCAGTCATTTTTTTTTACCTGCTGGGCTTGCACAGTCAAAGTTATTTATTTATTTATATATGTATTTGTCAATATTCTTGTAAATAAAAATAAAATAAAATAAATTCTCACTCGATTATGTTATGTTAATTAGGAAGAGCAGAAATGTTATTTTTTCATACAGTCTAGGTTAATTATGTTCAGTGTGTATATTTGGACAACTAATTAGATTACGTGTTAGTCAAATGTGTGGTTCACATTCGTAAACTGATTAAAATACAACAGAAGTTCACAATCTGACGACATATATAATTAAGCTTATAGTATGTGAGAGCTAGTAGGAAACACTTTTTCTGTTATCTATTTTAATACATAGTGCAATAACGGTTGAGTAAGTATTTTTTTTTCTTCTTCAAAATGGCGCTTGTGTGATTTTTTACTATGAAGTGGAGTTTTGAAGAACTTTTATTAGTGAAGAGTCTGAAGGACAATTTGGTTTATTTCAATCGAGCACTGTAAAAGATTTTTGGTTATCTAGAATTACTTTTAACATTGTAAAAAACACTGCTAAATACATCATGTTGATGCTCTTTTTCGGAGAGGGTCAACTTAGGAAAAAAAAAAGGTTTGTCTTCGGCAGTGGAGAAGGTGGATCTTCTGTAAGGGCCGAGCCTACAGAAGACAAAGTAGGAGAAGTAGTCGTTAAGCTTCGGATACCGGTGTGGTGCCGAAGGCTCTCCGATGCTTAAGTCAACTAAGAATAGTAACTTTAGCAGAATAACAGTAAAAGGTAAGAAAGCAGTTATCCTTTTTACTAGGGTATTGTTCCCTATTTATAGGGAAGTGAAAGTGTGAGGTTTGTGTAGATTTCCGATGTGGGACTTTGTGCAAGTCGCTGTGGTGGTGACACGTGTCATGAATATTAGGTTTGGCAGTTTGAGAGCTTTGGCAGGTGTCTGACACCTTGGAAGAGTGTCTTCCTTCGGCATGGGAGAAGACGTGTTTGCCTTAGTGCTAGTCATTTTGAGGCTGGATATGCTCAGTTGATTATGGTGTAAACACATCCTTAGAAGAATCTCTCTCTCTCTCTCTCAACTTAGCATCATAGACTTAGCTCCATTTGGACGATGTCTACTGATTTTGAGGAAGACCAAAGTGAGAAATATTGCATGCAAATTGTAATTTATAAGTTTTTCTGGCAAAACTAGGAGATTCCATATGCACACATTTTCCCATGAATATAAAGCACAAAAAGAAATCTCATCCCGGTCCAACAGGAGATATAATATTGCATATGCATTTTCAGCATCAACTCAGTTTTGATTGCTTGAAATGTAGGTAAACCAAGATGACCTATGCCTTCATAACTTCAATTAGATTTAGATGGATGGATGGAGCTTGTTGATGAGATGAAATAAAACCAACCACAAGTCCACCACAATTAATGTTTATTTTAATGTTACATTAAGAATGTCTAATCGCCATGAACCCCTCCTTTAAGAATAGTGTAGGATGACCAGTTGGTGGGGGCAGTGAGCTTGTGCTTTTTGCACCCAAGTTCAAATCCCCCTCTTATTTGATTAAATTAATTTATAATAATTTAAACTATTGCTTCTATTTAAAAAAAAAAATTTAAAAGGAATAGTGTAGATGAGTTTTAGGAATTCAAAGTCGTTTCAAAACCACCACATTAATTAATTTTCCAAGCAAAAATGAAATAACAAATAATAAAAAAGTGCATCCATGCATGTATTAACACTGCATCAGATATTGATGTTTTGTCCATTAGGTCAGGAGGCTGCAGGACCATCATCTCCAAACTCAAGTGCTTTCTAGCTTGTGACCCAAGTCTGCCTTCTTACCCACAACTATCATCACCACATTGGAGAGAATGAATGAGTATGAGATTCACTAGCTCCTATCCAATCTGAATCATATGATTTTTCAAATATTGGATTACGCATTGTACATTCCCTATCATCACCGAGAAACAACGTACCCTCTATATTCATAGGAGTTGTCTCATCTCAACCACCCCTCTAAATTTACTATTTGCATGCAGAAAATGTTTTCAATAAAGCAGGAAAAAAAAAAAGGCTTATTATCACAAAACGTCTCTAAGGTTTACGAAACTATAAGATTGCATCTTTAATGTTTTTTTGTGTCATTTGTGGTCCTCAAGATTAGTATGTGTAATCACAAATGGTCTCTGCCGTTAGGTTCTGTTAAAAACTCTGTTAGTTTGCTGACGTGACATATATATATATATATCACAAAACATCCCTAAGGTTCACGCATCTATCACAAATGGTCTTTGTGAAATTTTTTAATTTTTAAATTTCAAATACATAAAATTTTGGTTTTCTTTTTAAAATTTTATGAAATTTAAATTATTTAACAATATATATTATATTTTAAATACATGTGACACTATATTATTGTAGATGTGGGCTCCATATTTATGCCACATCAACAAACTAATGAAGTTTTAAACAAATAATTTTAAATTCATAAAATTAAAAAATTAAAAAACTTAGGGGGGTGTATTCAATTAGGATTATAAAGCGTTTAAAAAGATTTTAAAAATCCAGGTGTATTCAATTTGAATTTATACAAACTTTAAAAGAGGTTTTACAAGTCTGGGTGTATTCAACTCTGACTTGTATGAACTTTTAAAACGTCTATTCAAATATGAGTGTATTCAATTAGAATTATAAAAAAGTTGAATCAAATCTAGGTGTATTTGAAAGGTCATATATTTGGAAGGATTTCATTAAGTGATAAATTTTCGTAGGTTTTAAGGGGAGAGCTATAAATAACAAAGACCATAATAAATTCCAACCTCCCCCTCAAGTATTTTACCAGACGTTTTTCTCCAGCCCTAGTTTTTCTCTTTGCAACAGAAGATGAACAACTTCCTTCCTATATCTGTGAAGGCATGCTCTCTATTTTTTCTTTGATCAATACCTCGTTGGATTTTCTTTTTCCATGGGGATTTTCTTTTTCCATTGGTGGGGGGTGGGGGTGTGTGTGTGTGGGTGGTTGGAGTTTATTGCTTGTTACTAATGTTTATGCTTGCTTTTCTTCTGAAATATCTATATACGACTTTATAAGAATTGTTCATTGAATCACTAAATAGAAAATTGAAATAATTGACAACCTTATTAGAGTTTGTATGTCTTCTTGGTTGTGGTGTCAACCTCACGGCGTCAGTTTGCAAGTGTTGACGAAATCTGGGACGATAATGGCGTTGATTGCTGTTGGTGGTGACTGATGCGAAGAAGACGATGGCGTCGACGGCGTAGCTGTGTCAATGGCGTTGCGGCATTGATGGCTAGTAGGTATGTATGGGGAGTAGAAAGGTGAGAAGTGGAGTGTTTCAGAGAGCTCAAGAGGGTTTCAAGGAAGGAGAGAGGAACTCATGAGGTTTCAATGAGGGAGAGATAAGATTTGCACATAGACACGGAGAAATCTGAATTTTAAGTCGAGGTTAAGCCGCCCCTTTTGTTTAGCGTGTTTTAAAAGACGACGCTTGTTAATTGACAAGTACCGTGTTTTAAGAATCAACCCAGCACAACTCCACTTTAGTAGTGTATAAGATGATATACTATGACGATTTTACAAAACCGTCGTCTTTTAAAACACGACAGTTTTAAGGTGCATCGTCGTCTATTTTGAGTCGTGAATTAACTAAATTGTAGTAGTGTCTATCTATTTTTGAATTTGAAAGATGTTGCGCTTGGAGTTTTCTCATTACGACTACAAAGAACAAGGAACCATATCAACTAAAGAAATTATAGAAGTCTGGAATAAAAACCATACAAATCTTAAGAAAGTTTAGGGTTCATAAATGGTCCTCAAGATTAAAATCCTTCTATAAATGGTTTTTTCATTTACAAATAATTTTAAAAAGAAAACCAAAATTTTATGAATTTTAAATTAAAAAATTAAAAAATTTCATAGAGACCATTTGTAATAGGTGTGTGAACCTTAGGGATGTTTTGTGAGATATATATATATATATATATATGTCACGTCAACAAACTAACGGAGTTTTTTACGGAACCTAACAGCATGGACTATTTGTGATCGCACATAATAACCTTGAGGACTACAAGTTACACAAAAAAACATTAAGGATGCAATCTGATAATTTCGTAAACCTTAGGGACGTTTTGTAATATTAAGCCAAAAAATATACCGTCCTAGTCCTACAGAAGATATTTGCACATTATGTTTCCGAACCCAATTTTGATTGCTTGAAATGCAGGGAAACAAAGAAAAAATGGTTAACAATATGATCAAAATTTGATTGGACAAACTCATCTAGTTCTTTGTTTAAAGTTTGAATAGATTCGAACCGAATTTTGAACGTGTGTCTGCAAAAACATGAGCAAGTCCCTCTCATTTTCTTTCCCTAAGCAGGCATAAGCATCCACAAAGTAATCACACTCCGGCCCATATATATGCACCACACATGCTGCTTTGTAAGCTAAGAGCTGCAAATCACCTGTTTAAAAAATAAGTGTAAAAAGATCTATATTTTTCAGCTATTCTGGCTAAACCAATGCAATAGAAAAATATAAATAAAAACTCTGCCATTCAAATCTGAAGATATTCATCGTCTACGTATTCTCAATGGAATTTTAATAATTAGAATCCTTTGCACAAAGAAGTTAACATAATAATAAATAAATAAATAAAGAATTCTTGCTAAAGGTTGTATTCTTCTAGATGAGATAATTGTACACACTC